GTTCAAGGGGGCCGAATATTTTTGCAAGCCACTGTACGCATTGACATAGACGGCTTCCTTATTTAACCTCCTTCTGAGGTTTGCAATCTGGGTGTCAATTTAGACTCCACTCTTTCATTCCGTGCTTATGTCAAATCTGTCACCTAAGCAGCTTTTTTCCACCTAATGAACATCTCTTGAATTCGGGTATCACTCACTGACTCTATAGCAGAGACTCATCCATGCATTTGTCACCACCAAGCTGGACTACTGAAATGCAGTCCTGTTTGGGATTTCCACTAAAGCCCTGGATAGCCTCCAGTATGTCCAGAAGGCTTTTAACAGTCTGGAAGGCTTCTAACAGGCACTAAGCTCTGGGAACATATTACCCACACCCTCATTAATCTCCACTGGTTTCCGGTCAAGTCACACATTACTTACGAGATTCTTCTTCTCACTTACAAATCCCTCAATGCCCTGGCACCTCAATATGTCTCTGACCTCCTGGAACCATACACACAGTCTCGGATGCTACGGTCCTCATCCATGGGACTTCTCAAACCTCATCTCTTCAACAAAACCTTCAACCTCTAGCTTTTTAGCTAAGCATCCTTGGGTTTTTTTGAAAGGCGCTATACAAATCAAAGTTATTATTAATGGACTTTCGTAGGAGATATTATTATTTTCCTTTCTATTGTGACCAATGACAAATCAAATCATATTTTAAAATGTTGGAAGTTTTAATGCACAACATCTACAGCAGTCAGTGAGTTTCAAACGATTTTGATTACCCATGAACTGCCGTGCACTAGCTCATTTGTTATTGTTTCACATGCTGCATCATAGCCAATCACAACATATTCTAGATGTAAAACTTGAGTTTAAACGGCATATTAGCAAATGTACTGTATTTACTTTCCAGCACTGTTTATGGTGCAGTTATATTTTAAACATCTAATACTTCCTTGTAGAAAAGGAAGTGAATGCTGTATAATATCAGAAATAAATTATTTTCATCAAAGGAGCTTCAGTGTTACTCAGGTCAGTAGCGCCCTCTGCTGTTCACATCCATATCCACAGTATAGATTTGCGTACAACATACTGAATTTAAAAATCAAATCTTCATTTCATAAGCAAATTAAAATCCTTGTTATTAAGATTTTTACATACTTTGTATCATGTGCTTACAATATGTTGTGTGTACTGTATTTTAAAATGTTTCTCCAAATATTGGTAATTAATAGAAAAACATTTAGACATTATACATTAGACGTTATCTCTCGCATAATAAGAATTATGAATTTTCAAACACTATTTGTTACAACTACTAACGCCTGTGGGCGTATACGGAGATCTTGAAACTTATTTTTTTCACTTTCTTTATTTTTTTAAATAAAAATAATTTATTAATTAAAACAGTTAAAAGTGGTCAGTACAACTGATTATGTGAAATCATCACTGAAAAGTACACATTGTAAGGATTAACTGTTAGTGAATCATGGTGTAGTAGGAGGAAACCAGAAAGTTTTTAGTAACAACATCTTGTTCCTTACATTCATATCTGTTCATAGAGTCCTACAGTGTACATCAAATTTGGCATTTTTTCACACCTAAACCACAGGGTGTTGGCTACAGTCAGGTTTAACCATTGCCAAATATTAAACCACTGTTAAAGAGGAGCCAAGCATGAAAACAACACATTGCTGATGAGTGTTATTTTTGGTTTACAAGTATTTTTCCATCCTTATAATAGTGACCCTGGCCAGTGAAATGATCCAATGAGCTGCCTGTGCTTTGATATGAGACTGGACACAGTTAAACCCCACTTTGCTGTACAGGGCCACAGCTGCCATTTGGGTGGAGCTAGTCTCCAACACCACCTTGGAGAAGCCCCGTTCTTTACAGAAGCCAACCGCAGTCTGAGTCAACCTTAAGCCGAGGCCCATCCGTCTATACTGTGGGGAAATGATCATTCTGAACATTTCCCCATACTTTTCTGCCCCACTGTGTTTAGCTACCACAGCCACCATACCAACAACCTGGGCTCTCGCTCCAGCCTCGGCCTCAGCCACCCAGAAACAGTCATCAGGTCTGCTGAGGAAGTTCCCAGGGATGTCCTGCATGTCGGTGCGAAGTTTATACCTGACGTAGTATGCATATACTTCATGACAGCAGCAGTAGATGAGACCTACCCAAGCTGCTGGGAACAGTACAGCCCCAAACACAGAGCCAAGGAGATAACCAACAACACACAGAGTCGGGGTGATGGTGAGGTAAAGGGGACTGGTCATGGCGTTATAGAAACATGGACGGATATGCTCCAAGGTGCCAGTACTGAAGAGGGTGAGCACTGTGTCCTTGTCTGCAGGACGGTACCGACGGATCACCAGCTGCATGACGAAAGTAACTACAAGGAAAATCATAAAACAGTGAGAAATGCTGTTGTTATTTACACTACATTACTAAGCATGACCCTTAAGGAAAATTATTTTTATTTTTTTTACTTAGTTTCCTTTTTTGTAATTTAATTAGATTTTATTAAGTCTGCTTATGTGTAGCACTGTTTGTGGTTGTGTTTAATATAACATTTAGCTACCATAAACAAGGAATTTCCAGATCCTATCACCTCTCTTGTATTATACAAATTATCTTGAGGCAATTGTTGCTGGTTAAAAAACAAAAAAGTGACTATAGTGACTATATGAGTTGCTGTGTAATAAATTTGTCTGCTAGCCATATTACAATCGCACAATTACCTCCGCTTTACGTTAGTGAACTTACACAGGTTGATCCTTCACGGAGAAGAGCACACACGAAACAATGAAGAAGCGCAGCAACACTGTGAATCAGCTCAACTTCTAGACTGGTTAATAAAACACAAAAGGAGCACAAAGGCTTGACTCTCACAGCCCATGTAATACTTCGATGGGATAATTCGGTTCAAAGTACAGCTGTAAAAGTGTTAAACATCATCTACTGTTACACTAACTGTTACACTATACTGGTTAATAAAACACAGCTTGACTCCTACAGCACTTATAATACTTAGATGAGGTGATTAGGTTCAAAGTCCAGCTGTAAAAGCAAGCAGCAGCAGGCAGAGCGGATATATTACATCATATCTTAAGGCAGACCTTCCCAAAGTGTGGGGCCCGCCCCCTAGGAGGGGGGCGCAGAGCCATTGCACGGGGGGCGCGCTATGAAAAGGAAGAGAAAAAAAACCCAAACCAAACCTTGGGCACTGCTAGCACGGGGGCGCCTCCACAAACGCAAATCAGGAGATGAAGCATAGCTAAATATGTTTCCAAACCAACTTCATTCTAAGCCAAAGACTAGAAAATATGGTGAAGCATATCTTCCCTTTGGTTTCACCTGGTTTATGTTTTTGAACCCATTTTGCAGAGGGATTGAAAATTTTATTGATAGCAATGTTGAATATTATTACACAGGAAAAAAAACAACTACATGTAAAATAATTACACCGTGACGCCTCTGCCTTTGTAAATGGAGGGACAGTAACTGCGTGTAAAACCTGAAGATAGTCAGATTAACAGTATTTTGTCTCTATCTGCCATTCTGCAATTCATCTCATGTAAACAATAACGTGGCGCACAGCGTGACGTGAAAAAAGGCACATACCTTTGACGTTGCGTGATGAACTCTGTATTCCTCGTCCACACGTAAACGAAAAAAGGGAGTTTTATTAAGGAGTGACTCCAAACGCCGTTTACGTGTGGACGAAACAGCTGCGTTTTCAAAAATACCCGTGTAGGTGCGGACGTAGCTTAAAAGAGTTAGTAGTTTATTTCCTTACTACCTGCAATTTATTGCATATTACTTGTATTTGCTTAATTGTTTACTAAATGTTTGAGGTGTGAAATAAACCGCAATGGAGAAAAATATGGGTGTGTGTGGTTGGAGGCGTGTGCGCGCGCGAGGGGGGCGCGGACATTTTTCTTGTAAAACAAAGGGGGGCGCAGCAAAAAAAAGTTTGGGAACCACTGTCTTAATACCTTGTAGTACCATATCACCCTATTAGAGCACTTCGCTCTCGCTCTGCAGGCCTACTTGTTGTTCCTAGAGTATTTAAAAGTAGAATGGGAGGGAGAGCCTTCAGTTTTCAGGCCCCTCTTCTGTGGAACCAGCTTCCAGTTTGGATTCAGGAGACAGACACTATCTCTACTTTTAAGATTAGGCTTAAAACTTTCCTTTTTGCTAAAGCATATAGTTAGGGCTGGACCAGGTGACCCTGAATCCTCCCTTAGTTATGCTGCAATAGACGTAGGCTGCCGGGGATTCCCATGATGCATTGAGTTTTTCCTTTCCAGTCACCTTTCTCACTCACTATGTGTTAGACCTCTCTGCATTGAATCATATCTGTTATTAACCTCTGTCTCTCTTCCACAGCATGTCTTTTATCCTGTCTTCCTTCTCTCACCCCAACCGGTCGCAGCAGATGGCCCCGCCCTCCCTGAGCCTGGTTCTGCCGGAGGTTTCTTCCTGTTAAAAGGGAGTTTTTCCTTCCCACTGTCGCCAAAGTGCTTGCTCATAGGGGGTCATATGATTGTTTGATTTTTCTCTGTATCTACTGTACAATATAAATCTGCTGTTGTGATTTGGCACTATATAAATAAAATTGAATTGATTTGAATATACGCAGGTAACAAAAACAGAGACTTGCAGGCTCCATTTCTACCTGTTCATGTTTCTACAGTAGAATCATGCGGAGATCGCTTTAAAGTCTCTTTGGGTTGGTTTTTGTATTTGCTTTTTGTTCATATGTAAATTAATAGAGGGCTATAGAGGGTGTTGGTGTGTAGGACTGTAGTCTGAGTTGAAAACTGATGAGTTTTGGGAGAAAGCATGACATCAGTTTTTTGGGGGTCGAAGTTTGGAAGAGTTTTATATATTGTATAACTAGCTTTTGAAAAGGGGCACATAGCAGGCTGAATAACAACAACTCACATTCGTCAATAATCTAGTATGGAATCGCATCATACTATAAATAAAAAGAAACGTTCTTTTTTCTCCGCATTGTAAAGTTATCATGTCGTGACAGTAGAATTGGTCAGTTTCAATATTATTACGGGGCCAACATTATTACGGATATGATGAACCTTGAAATACACCACACAGAGATATGAGGAACAACAGCAGGGTTGGCTCCATGGCCTTTCTCTGTTTCTAATATAAACAGTATCAGTGTCTCATCTTTGGCTTCCTGCTGCACATCTTAGCATCCTTCCATTAATACAATCAAACAAGCAGAAGCAATGTCTGAACTACAATACTTCTTGAATTAACAACCGAGGGATTTCCCTATTCTGGGTAAATATATTATGTTAGTGATAAAAACAAACTTATAAGAAAACTAGTGCAATGAAACCAAAATCACGGTGAGGTTATGATCTACACTGCAGTCAGACACTAGGGGGCAATAGAGAGGGGTTTTTGTTTTGGTTTGTTTTTGCTGTCATTGCTGTCGTGGGGCAAATATGTTGGTATGGGACACATTGCTCATAGGATTTTAGTAAGTGAAGGAAATATTTAATTTAAATCAACCTTCCAAGGTTCCTTGTTAAATAAACACAGTGACCATAAAAAGGTGAAGTTCAGTAGCTATAAAAATGTTATTTCAGTTTATGGTTTGTGTAGTCATCCTTTAGATTACAGACTGACTGTGAGGTTACATCTTAACTATTTTTGGCTGTTTTAACATGAATGTTTTCTTCTTTTTGAACTTTGCTTTTTGACTGTTATTTGTCAAGCTGACTGACCTTCCATGTACAACCACTAAATTGAATTACTTAAATTTGTTGGATACTTTGATTTTATGCCGTCTCAGGTCCACTTTTTGTTCAACACTGATAAAATCCAAATTAAATTAATAATTTGTTCAGATTTTATTTATTATAAGGAACTGTATTTTCAGAACTGAATTTTTCAGGTTACAGCCTTTACTGCTTTATTTATAATTTTGGTTTAACATAGAAAAGACTTTAAGGGGAAAAAACTCTAAATAGAATTGCTTTTAAAAATCATATTACACATTTTTGCATTTAATTTCTGTTTTACAAAAGGCTTTTATGTATTTTTTTTTACAAGTTTACCTTATTCAAAATGTTATGTGGTCATGGTGACAGTGGTCTGTCGCCATGACAGTATTTTGTCTTTGCATGAGACTGTTAGTTATTTCTGGACTGGTTTATTTAGGTTTATTTCCTGAGTGTGTTATTTCGTTATGCTTCTGAGTTTGCTTAGTTCTCTGGTCCTTGTTTAGTTTAGGCAGTTCTTATTTTGTCCACGTGTCTGTCTGTCTGTCTCTCTCTCTCTCTCTGCGTGTTAGTGATTTCCTGTTTAATTGTAACAATCACTTGTCTTTTGCATTGTGTTCATTTTTGCGTCCCCTGTCTCGTTAGTCAAACTCAGATGTGGATCCTCTGGCTGTCTAGCGAAGTTCTTATTAAGGTAATATGACAGCATAGTTTAAAAATAATCTTATTTTAATGTCACAAATGTTCTTCAATAAGCTGGTTGTTGTCGTGCACTGATATTAACACTCACGGTATGGCTGAAGGCTGCTTCTCCTGTCACTTCTTTATCCCAAGACGTTGATTCTGTTCATCTGGATGTAGCGCTTTAAGCGGGAGAAACATTTCATCACTCATCCAAGTCATTTCTTTAATCTCAGCTGACTGCAGGTTTCCCCAACCTAAAGAGTACATTTGCACAATGACTAAATCTACCCCACTGAATGAACAATGGGTTGTGAGGCCAGTTCCTTGATGATTAATATGCCAATTGTCATGACGACTGATCAACAACCACTGATCATGACCACTGATCAAAGACCATTGATCAATGGCCATGAGTACAATTCAAAGAGTTGGGAAATGGCTGCAATCACAGCATTGTAAGATGGCGAAAGATGTACCCTTAGGCCCCCTCCTCAATTCAGAGATGGTCTTTCCCTTTTCACGTAAATGGCCTCCTTGACTACGCGCTCAAACCAGCTTTCCTTCCTGTCCAGGATGTGTACATCCTCATCATTGAAAGAGTGTCCACCTGGCCTGTTGAAGGAAATAGAGTGTGAAGTCCTGGCCCAACTAGTCAGGTCTTCTGTGTTGTGCCAGCTGCTATACCAGAGTTTGCCCAATGTATAAATCATGACAATCCTCCTTGCACTTAACAGCGTGCACTATATTACTCTGTTTGTGTCAGGGGACCCGATCGTTGGGGTGGATCAATTTTTGGCCCATGGTGTTTAGAAAAAATGTGTCTCAACTGTTCCAATACTTCTGACACATAAGGGATCAGGCAGCAGTTGTCCTTCTCTCCTAGATCGGCTATTATTTTTATTCTCCCAGGGCAGTCCAAAGACATGCAGTTACTGGCAGGGCTGGACTGGGACAAAAAAATCGGCCCAGGCATTTTGACTAGAGACCGGCCCACCAGGTATTAAAGCCATAGAGCCTTTGAATGAAAACAAACACTGTTGTAACAGTGATGTACACTGTCTTGTTGGTATATGCATGATTTCTATACATTTTACTTCAGATAAAAACTTTGGTTGTAAGATTCAGATAATTATTTAATAAAAGTGAGATATTTTAAATGAGAAGAAGAAAGAAAAGTATTTCTTTGTGCCCCCCTCTCCCTGTTAATGCCCTACCTGGCCCCCTGGCAAAACTTTGCTAGACCCGCCCCTGCAGTTACCAGTTGTCAGCTACAAAGGATCCTGGTGTTATTTGTCTCTCAGAAACAGGTCATAACTTCCCTTCAACTCATCCATGTCACCTAAAAGGTAAACCTGTTTCTCCATCACCTGTTCAGCTCTGATGTATCAGTAAGGACATCTCCTGGTTTCATCTTCATGTTTTCCTCTCACCACATATCCAAACCGATATCATGACCAGCAGCTTGAAAACTAGAAATTAATATTAAATAAATTCTAACAACAGCTGATCAAGCTTAAACGTGCTGCTGTTGTTTAGCGCGACATCTGCTGGTTTCCTGTTTCTGGCGCAAAGTGGGCGATAAACAAGAGAGAAAAACTGATCAGCTGATCATTGATCAGTTTCATGATTGAAGTAGCAACAAGAGGGGGAGAGAATGAGAGAAGAAGCAGCAGCTGTGCGGCGTAAACACAGAATAACTCCAGCTTTGTGTCTTTTCCATTGTAGCTGAAGTACGGGACAAACTGTGTTCCTTCTCAGCTCAATACGAAACGCGTAATATTTTCTCTAAATACGGGACGATTCCGTTTTTTACGGGACGGTTGGCAACTACTAACTAACCTTATGAATAAAATAAAGTTCACTATCAGTAACATCAAAGCACCCACCCAGCTATATAGAAACTCCGTCATG